TCTCTCTCTCTCTCTCTCTCTCTCTCTCTCTCTCTCTCTCTCACACACACACACACACACACACAGCAAAATTGATATATGAGCATGTACAGAAAAAGTATCTGCATGAGATGAGTGGGAGAAAGCTCAGAAAGTAGCCTCATCACATGCTAAGTTTGGAGATTCTTAGTCGAAAAGTCCCCACCATTGCAGAGAAAGAAAGGTCATCTCTATAGGATGGGGATGGTGGTGGACCTGGTGGAGAAGGAGGAGGTGGTGGTGGAATTGATCAGCTAAAGGAAGAACTAGAGAAAATAGAGGCCGAAGACCTCATGTACAGTAACCTTCCACCAAGCTTTATCATTTGGTCCATGATGGAAGATGGGGACAGACTGATCTTTTCTCTCATTGGAAGCTACTTCCATTCTGATCCAAGGCCAGCTGTGCACATATCCAGTGCACATGTAGGAAGAAACTTGATCTCAGGGAGGAAATTATATGATTCTAAAGCAATACAAGGTATGTTGTTCTAATAACATCAGTTCAGATTGTAATTTCCAAGGGATCACATTATCTATACCACATAAAGCTTCCTAAAGATGCAAGTTTCTATCATCTTCACTTAATATTGGCCTTTCGTTTCCCTCTTTCTTTCACAAATACTGTCGAGTTCATTATATGATCATGATCAAATATACATCTTTGAGCATGCAGAAGAGAACTTGCTGTGATCTCTTGAACTTTTGACGAGCAGTGTGATCTTATGCACCGGTCGATGAAGTTTATCCAGAGCAGAAAGTTAAATGCAGAATCATAAACAATAAAAGAAGCCATAACAATGATAAAGTATCGTCAAAAAGATTCATTTGTTAGACTAATGCATAAGTTGTTGAACTTAATTATTTCCACATATGCATTTGTTACCTCAAAAGCAACCAATCATGCCAAAAACAATCTTTCATGAGGTCTATATCATCATCAAGACACATAATACATTAACATATTTGTGCTCAATTCATGCCCACATATTGATATTTTGGCTCAAAGAAAGATCTTAGTCTCTAATATCAGTTCACTTGGAATCCAGAACTCCCCATGTAGATTGTTTTATGCTATTAATACTCAAATGTACAACATGATTTGAATGTATACATGCACATTTACAAAGATGCTTCTAAATAAGTAAGAGCATCTAGCTCAGTAGAATTCAAACTTCATTTTGAGTGCAATGCTCAAGCTTTCCCAGTCTCTAAGATCAGATGAAATATTGACATTGTTGGAGGAAATAGTATCTGAATAGTTTAGTAAATTTAGTACATGTAACTTCCCTGTCAGCCCTATAAGACCAAATTAGTCTATTTCTTTGGACATAATCTCATGTTAGCAGCCCACAGTTAAGAAGTAAACACTGCTTTAAGCAGCCTTGAAATAAGCACCACATGAATTCACTCTTTCCAAGTGAAACAACAAGAAAAGATTGCAACTTCTTGTTCAATAATCAGCTTATTACCACACAATGGATATGAACAAATCCAAAGAAATCAAACATAGTTTCTCTACATCATCAAGGGATATATGTTACTTCAATAAACAAATGGATGAGGTTAATCAATGCAAGGATTGACTGGTTGAACTATAATATTATGAGGCACAATTGATTGAATCTGAAAAGAAACTGAAAGAGTTCTAAAGAGGAAAAAAGAAAGAGAAAAAAGACTGGTTGAACTCCAAAGCACAATTTGTTTGTTTCAAGAAGTAAAGTGAAGCAATGAGCAGGAGCCAAAGAGAAGTAACCATGCTTTAATGGCAGTATCAGTACTTCTAATGCACATGTATCTGCTTAAGAGTTGACTTAATTTAGCTTCTGGTGGCACAGGTTTTTTGGTGGAAGTGAGGATTCACAAGGTACATATGCAACAGGAATTTAGAAACTACATAAACTTTCTGCAATTTATTGTGTTCTTGATTATAGGCAAATTTATGAACTGAAAAAAAATGTCAGAACAATTTCTTCCAGAACTAAGTGATAGAGAGAAAACCAAGCAGTGACATGATCAAAAAGAGCAGAAGTATGAATACATCTAATGCTTCGGAGAAAGTTCGATGCAAATACTTTGTTTTTTTTCAGGATTATTGTCTTGTCTTCCTCTAATTTGTTGATTTTATGTTTGGTTAGTGAACCTTTAATTGAGCAATATATCCTTCGGATGACATGATTATGAAGATCCCACAAAGTGCATGCTACCAGCTTCTACATCTTGCTATGTATAATTGAAACGAATTGGTGTTGCAGCAGAAGCAAAGCATGTCTTGCATCTGATGATCTTAATGAACTACATAAACATACAGTACTTGTCTTCTCATCCCCCACCACCTCATGCAGTGCACTTTAGATTTGGCTTTCCTCGAAAGATGCAGAAAATTCACAGATGGCAGGCAAACAAGAAATAGGAATGGATAAAGCCGGCTTTAGATCTGACCTGGATGAATCGATGACTGCATGCTCTCCATTTTAGGGCATCTCAACTGCTGTTAGAAGATGAAGCTGGAAATCAAACTTGGCCTGGAGAATATGAGCATCTGAGTTCACCATGATATATACAGCAAAGATTAGTCAAGACAAAATATTTAAGGGGAAATTAAAGAAAAGAAACAAATAGTCAGACAAATTCTGATACTGCACTTTTTAATACATGTAGGGATTATAGGAAGGAGATATCTGTACCATGCAATCATCAGTTACAATCATAAGAAAAGAACATAATGAGTATATAAAATGATTTAGAGACATCATTTTATTATTTTCCGACCCCCGCTATCAAAGAATCTTACATCCAGTTCAGTGTGCGTCCCAATTGCTGAGAAGGATGATGGTCAAGATGTCCTCTCTTCCTCTGCGATCGTATCCTTCTTCATAGATATAAGTTTAGTGGTGTATTCTTCCCCTTGCAGATCGAAGACGACGATGAGTCTGGCGGTGTGTCACCGCTCGCATGCGGCGGTTTGAGGAGCGGAAACGCAGTCCTGGGATGCAACTGCGGCAGAGACACAGAGAGAGTATCGCTGTGGTGATGACTGGCTTCGTCTCTGGATTCAGGACAATTCAGGTTCACTCCGAAGAGCCTAACTCGCTTGACGGCAGCCTGGTCGCGCACGAGGGGCACTGACCTGAGAAGCATCGGCACCCGGCCGCTGCCTACTTGCCGCACTTCCATCTGAGGTGGACTCGCGGCTGGCCATCCGTAGTACATAAGCTGGCCGCCGCTAGTACCCAAGCTCGCGACCGGTAAGGCGAAGAGCCGCGTATATGATAGCTCAGGAAGTGGAATCAAGGGTGGGTCTCGACTTGGAGGTCGCCGCTGACTGTCGATGTAAAGGCGGTGGCGCCCGGCCTCGCCGACGCCGCGGCAGAAGGAGACGGTGTCCCCGGCGTCGAGGCCCTTCTCCTTGACGAAGCGGCTCCATCCCCTAGTAATGACGTAGCTCTGGCTGCTGTTCCAGTAGGAGTAGCGGAAGTGCCACGGCTTCCCCGTCCTGTCCTCGAAGCACAGCAGCCGCCCCCTCTCGTCGGCCAACGTGTCCAGCGGGAAGTACCTCTCCGCGTGCTGCTTGGGGATCACCAGCCGGTTCAGCTTGCCGACGTCGCTCGGCGTCACAACCTTGTCGAACATGTGCTCCTTCTCCACGAAAGATCCAACGGCGCCGCTGCCGCCACCCGATGAACCATCATGCCACCAAAAGCCAGTCGACGATGACGACGGAGAAGGGCAGGAAGTCACAAAAGGAGGGTGTTCGGGGACCTCGAGCTGCTCTTGTTCCTGCTCACTCATGCGAAGCTTATCCGATCTCCCAAGCTTGAATTCCATCTGATGGATGGAAGTCTCAGAAACTGTTAGTTCGTAGTTTTATCTTCTGTTTCTGATACGCATGGACGGCCTCAAGAGGAGGAATCAATGACAAAGAATTAATTGGGTACCTTTAGCTTCGGTCGCAGAGAAGAAGAAGAAGAAGAAGAGCTGCAGATGAGGACAGGATTGATGAAGAAGCGCAACTCTGATAGCTACTTGAGAGAAATGAAAGGGGAGATGTAAGTGGCAGGTCTATAAAGGAATAGAGGGGGTCGAGGGGGAGGGACCATATGAGTCATCTGGTTGAGGTCATGTGAGCTTGTCCTTTTCATCATATGGGGGATTTATACATGTAAAAATCTCTGAGACTGGCTCCCATACAGCCAGTTGCAGAATTATTTACCCTGAACCCGATCTGCCATTGTGATTCAGAAGGAGGAGAAGAAGAAGATGATGATGAAGAGAGAGAGAAAGAAAGATTTTGTCCATTTAGAAATGTTTTACTTTCATGGCATTCAAGAAGTCACTTGTCATGGTTAGATACTGTAGAGCTATCTGGTCCTCTGGGTGTGCCATATTTTGCAGTTGTAGATCACCATTTGATGATGGGATGGTGTAACAATAGCCACACCAGATAAACTCATTCAACAACTATTTCAAACATAAGAATATATACTCCAGGAGTTCCCTACCAATTTGATCAATGTCTTGGCATAATCTTGAGCATTCATGAAGACTCATGTAAAGAATACACTAATAGACTAGGGTTGTCAGCCTCATCATGCTCATATGTCATTTATGTTCATGACACATGACATCCATTCAGCAAAAGTTGGAACACCTCAGGTGAATTGAGTCCATCATCTTCACAAAATATCCAATCACACTTCAAAAAAATACTGAGACTTTGTGACTGAGAGTCTTCAGACATTGTGCTATATTTTATGTTCATCAGTGGATGCTTCTTTGCAGAAGCTCATTCTATCTTACATCTCAATCTCAATGCAGTGATTAAGTCGAATTTTTGATGTGTAATTAGGATTGGAGTCATAAAAATCGATTTTGCTTACATGTCTATCTTCACTTCCTTTCTTTTGAGTTGCACAAGAATTGTTTCTTTCTTGTGGGTACAGATGGTTGGCATATTATGTATCATAAAGAAGAGGTGTGAAGGAAGCTTAACTAAATTCAATGATTTCTTTTAGCAATTGAATTCTGACCAAAATTGCTTTTTTAAGAATAAAAACTATTTCTTAAAGAGCTTCCAAATCCGACTACACTGCTGGTGTCAGATATCAAAGTGCAGCAAGACAAGAGTTGATAAAAAACCCAATAGTATATGGAAAAACAAATGCTGAATCATGCTCAGCTTTATATAACTCATTATGAGTTGCAGATGATTCCAAGACTTGCTCATGGTAGATTCATGGTTTGCTGTAAACAAATGGCTATGACAAAGAGTTGCTTGTCATGGTCAATCATGGCATATTGTAAAGAGAAAAACAGGAAAAAAAAAGGAACTCAGAACAATCCAAAAACATGAACACAAGAAGTTCTCTTTCATCGGTTACCTGCAAGTGATGAGGACTGCACTTTGCTTTCATCCAAAAACTACTAATCTTATTTGTGTATAACATGTTCCTATTTAAGGTCACTTGTATGTTGTATGCAAGTGATTGAATAGGTTGCTTAATAGTAATTAATGCACATCAAGTTGGTCTTCTTTTGTTCTAACTAAGTCGATACAAAGATTGGGTAAGGTCAGTGTAAGCAATCTTCTCCTCTTAAAACAAAGTGTTGCTTGAACTCTGATCATGAGTATAATTTATGTTGTCTCTGAGTCTAACAGACATTTAGTATGAGATTGCGAGCAAATGGTCACTTTTTAGCAATGAATAGAACAAGAGATTTCTATTTCCATGCAGAAAGCTCAAAGGAATTGTTACCTTTACTCACTGCGTGGTTCTCTTCAGCTGCAAAATGATGATGAACTCGAACGTCAAACTTCAACAAGAAGAAGAAGAAGAACTTGCACTGCCAAAGATGGAGACCTGCCATGCTTGTATGGATCGGAGCACAACCTTTATGTATAATATATAATTCTCTGAGGAATGGAGCTAGCAAACAGTGGAGCAGCGTTGCTGTGTTCATGCTCAGTATCTGTCCTACATTGGAGTGTGTGCCTCTGCAATGCTGCATCTCAAATGCCACCATCGTGGTGTTTTCTTTACCATATATATAGATGTGGAAGGTTCATGTTATCCTTATAATCAGATGGGGCATGCATGCATCCATGTCATAAATGATGCCACCATATGGGATGTGCCACTTGGAATGCCGCCGGCCACCTCATTTGCGGCTGACTGGCCACCGTGATCATAACTCTTCTTGCTGTATGACTCCACTATGATCACTTGATCTGTGGCTCACCAATGGCTTTGAAGGTTCAGGTTTACTCATGGGGGATCTGCCTAGCTGATTCAACCCTCCTTCCCTCACCCATCGATAATCCTCCTTTCCGGTTGAACCAAAAGCTAAACGGAGGGCGAGAAACCCTAAATAATTGCTGCATGAAGTGCAGTTGCCCATCCTACAACCTTGCAACACTGGAGAAACCGTTGAGAGTTCTCTGTTGGGTCTCTTTCTGCCCTCATGTGAGAGAGAATGCAATGACAGAAGACAATGAGAGAGAGAGAGAGAGAGAGAGAGAGAGCAATAAAAGGTGTTGCTGCAAATTTAAAGAGGCTGCCACACTATCAGTCTATGACATCTTTGGACGCAGGCAAAAAGCTGCCGCTTTGCTGATCCTGCAAGCCATTGCTGGGGCTATTGACTTCCTGCAATTCCTGAGCTAATTGGTGATCCACTTGATATCAGTAGACTCAGCTTAAGGTTGAATGATATGTTGGGTGAATTCTTTAAAAAAAATTAACCTTAGAATTTTTTTATAATATTTTTATTTCAAATTTTTTTGATATAATTGCTGATTGCGACGCTCTTACACCGTTGTCTTTATCTTACATCGTGTTCTTGTCCAGCTCATCTCTACCCACCTCATCCTCATGCGAGATCAATCACGTTTATCTTATTAAATTCATCTCTATTCGTCTCATCCTCGTCCCAACAAGGAGAGGTCATGCCGATGATGATTCTCGCGCAAACAAGATGGGGGCACAATGATGATGACCTCTACCAAGATAGATTCGATAGAGAAGAGAGAAGGCTGTTAGAGCTAGCTCCAGGAAATTTACCACAAGATAATTTTGGCAACCCAACAAGACAATAAAACGGAAAGAATAAAAGCGAGACAAGAACAAGTCTGATTTTCCCGATGTGGTGCATCTGACTTCAAAGCTCAGGCCCTTATTTATAGTTCCAATACGAGACAACAAATCTGATTTTCTCGATGTGAAACTATGGGACTTGCCAAACTAACAAAGGCGATAACAAAGAGCGTTGAGTAGAGGCATTATATAACAAAGACGATAACAAAGATAACGTTGGTTCGAACAATGACCAAAAATAAAATAATTATTTATGATTAAAAAAAACACTGCAGGGATTTATGTAAAATTATTCACTAATTCAAAAAGTTACCGTGCTGTTGACATTGTCAGGTCATCATTCAATCTGCTGATACTTGTGATGTGTAAGCATTGCTATTGCATTATTTCTCCACCAATTACCAGGTTTTATATCTCAACTGGAAGGAGGTAATTTATTTTTTATTCTAGCCTTGCAGAATCAGTGACAAAATGATAGATGACACCCCTACAGTTCACTAAAGAACAAGTAATTAGGTCTCTGTGTTATGAACAAACAAAACATGATTTGTTATCATGATTTTAGACAGCAACATTTTTGTCCCTGTGAGCTAAAGTTTGATGTCACTAATCAAACTAGTAACCAAGGCATAAACTTTAGCTATTTGACTTCAACTTTTGTTTCTGCTGAAGTGTAATCCATTTTGGAACATGAACTACAAATATGCAGTACACCATCTCCTTTCCTTTCATGCATATGTAAATCATCTTGATACTAGGTTGGAATAGAATGCATATCCAAGAACTTGTTTGGGTGATTTTTTTTTTAATTAACTTTAAGAATTTTTTGCATAGCATCTTAATTTTAAAAAATTTTCATAGAATATTTTTTTGGTAAACAATCATTTGGCTCCTAATCTCCACCAAACCTGTCATCGCCCCCGTTCTACACCATCTTCTCTATACTTGTCAGCGGCCCTTGCACTAGTAAAGAGGAGGCGTAAGTGTCACCACAACCTCCGTGGATATATCGACCCTTGTCTGACCTGCCCCTATGTGTGCGGAGGTGACAATGAATTCAACAAGAGCCGGTGAGGTCCATAAAAGTAGTGATGATGCTCGAGCTCTCTTTTTCCTCGTGCAAGGGTCATATGTAAGTATAACGAGAGTCGATTGGTATGGTGGAGTAGGGCGACCTTGTATGAGACGACTAGGCTTGAGTTTAGGACAGCAACGACACTTGTACCCCCTTCTTCCTCGTGCAAAAGTCATAGACGAGTATGAACAGGATTAGTGAGGTCAATGGAGACAGTGACGAGGCCGACGAAGACAAGGATACAATGATTTGAACACTATATGAGAATTTTATAAAATTAAATCACTCTTCAATAAATTCTCAGAATTAGAATTTTTTTTTCAAAAACTCGCCCAACTCCATTTTTTTTTTTCCTTTGTAGCTATTGACATCTCAATAGGCATCAAGTGGTTCTCATGAGGACATTGACCACTAAAAGATTACTGCATGGAACACAACATGTAGCGGAGCTGTTACCTTGGTTGCTGCACTGCATAAACTTAAATCTGATAGCAAATGATGATGACAGTAAGGTAAAGCTTGGAATTGCTGATGAGTTTTCTACAAGGCAGAGGTATAAGTATGATAGGAAAAGAAGATTTTTTAGGATATTATCTTCCCTTTGCATCCTCTTTCTCTTCGTTTCACCTAAACCCACACTCTTTGTTCTCCTTGAAATAAATTTGTGTGTATTCTCTTTGCTAGGTCATGTCTTCTCACTTCCAGCACAAAGGATATATTATATCGAGAAGAAAAAGCACTGAAGCACAAGAACACTATCAAAGCAGGAAGAAGGGTGATAGTGGAGAACCAGTGGAATATTTAAGAACACTAGTCATATGATGATGGCAAGAGAATACTAATTT